TAATAATAATAATAATAGTGCATTGTTTTTGGCAGTGGTGGGCAACATATGTCCTATGGGTTCCTTATGGCTAATTTTTTTTGTTCCTGAGATCTATGGCAACACCACTACAGTCCCTGCTATCTTTCCATCACTAACTTTGCTTTGGTGAAAAAGATGTGCAGCTTCTTTCTTTCTTTCTTTAAAACAAGGCACTGGCTCATCACCTATTTTATTTACAAGTGGAATTGTGTTGTAGTATGAGGAACAAACACAATAAATTCCAATCTTCATCCATGCAAGTTATACCAACTCCATGAGATGCTTCAACAAGGAATTTCGGAGCTATGAAATATTTCTTGACTCCAGTACAGACCAAGACAGTTATTTGTCCATAACTTGTGCGGTTTTAAAGAAGAAAATCTGGTTTGTATGGACATCGCAAGCACAGGAGGAATGGCTGTTAAGAAATAGGGAAACAAGTCTTCCCTACTAGAAATTCTTTTTCCTTCTATTTCATCTTCCTTCCTAAGGAAAGAAGCTTGTGCCCTACAGCTTGCTTTCCCTGTCTCAACAGAACAGGGAGACCATGTGCTTCTCCTGCTACCCAGCTGAGCCTCACCTCCTAGCCACCTGGAGAGTGAGGTACCTGGCTCCAATAAGCTGATAGCCAGATAAGGTGGAAGCAGGCCTTTTTGGTACTATAACAACCATCACTACTAACAACACCAGTACCAGCAACAACAACAAAAATATGCTGTCATGTTGATACCAAATTATGCTGACAGTGTTCAGGGTTTTCTAAGTATAACATACAGAGAAATAGTTTGCCATTCTCTTTTTCTGGGTTTACCATGCCCTTCTTCTACCTCCCCAGAGGTATTTGGCTGATTACTACTTTATTACTTTTTTGGTGCCAAGTAAATACCTTTTGTTGGACAGGAAGCAACAGTTAGAACTGGCTATGGAACAACTGATTGGTTCAAAATTGGGAAAGGAGGACGACAAGGCTGCATATTGTCTACCTGCCTATTTAACTTATATGCAGAATACATCATGTGAAAGGCTGGACTGGAGGAATCCCAAAACAGAATTAAGATTGCTGGAAGAAATATCAACCATCTCAGATATGCAGATGATACCACTCTGATGGCAGAAAGTGAGGAGGAATTAAAGAACCTTGTAATGAGGGTGAAAGAGGAGAGTGGCAAAAATGGTCTGAAGCTCAACATTAAAAAACTAAGAACATGGCCACTGATCCAATCACCTCCTGAGAAATAGAAGGAGAAGATATGGAGGCAGTGACAGATTTTATTTTCTTGGGCTCTATGATCACTGCAGATGGTGACAGCAGCCACGAAATTAAAAGCCCCCTGCTTCTTGGGAGGAAAGCAATGAGAAACCTCGACAGCATCTTAAAACGCAGAAACATCACCTTGACGACAAAGGTCTGTATAGTCAAAGCAATGGTTTTTCCAGTAGTGATGTATGGAAGTGAGAGCTGGAACATAAAGAAGTCTGACTGCTGAAGAACTGATGCTTTTGAATTGTGGTGCTGGAGGAGACTCTTGAAAGTCCTCTGGACTGCAAGGAGATCAAACCTATCCATTCTGAAGGAAATCAACCCTCAGTGCTCACTGGAAAGACAGATCCTGAAGCTGAGGCTCCAGTACTTTGGCCACCTCATGAGAAGAGAAGACTCCCTGAAAAAGACGCTGATGTTGGGAAAGTGTGAAGGCAAGAGGAGAAGGGGACAACATAGGACGAGATGGTTGGACAGTGCCATCAAATCTACCAACATGAATTTGACCCAACTCAGGGAGGCAGTGGAAGAGAGGAGGGCCTGGCATGTTCTGGTCCATGGGGTCACAAAGAGTCGGATACAACTTAATGCTAAAGAACAAAATGGCTTTTTAATCTATATAACTGTTGCTATGCCATGTTTGAAATAGTATCATCTTCCATGTCTTTAATCAATGTTCCAGTGTCTTGTTTTAGCTTCTGCTGCTTTTAGATGATTGATGTTTTTAATTTAGTTAATCATGCTGCTGTTGTTTTTCACTGATTTAGGGTTTAATTTGTGTGTACTGTCAGACTCCCAACTACTATCACCAGAGGCTGTTTGTACATTTCACTAGATAACCAACCCTACCTCCAAACATTCCTCATGTCTCTGAGGTAGCAGCTTGGGGAGAAGGTTGGGTAATGTTCATTGGGTCAGATTTGGCCCTGAAACCTTTACTTACTACTTAAAAGAGTAATATGAGCCATTGCACTACCATCATAGACTTAAGCTTCAATCAATTTGTATCAAAATGGCAGTGGTAACAAGATTTGTTTGCTTCAGTAATTTACTACTGTTTCACTCACATGTTCAAAACTGTGACGGTCTTGGTTTATGGAGAATCCATTGAGAGATCACAAGTAAATTACAGTATACCTAAAAAAATATATAAACGTTGTAGCAACCTGCTTTCTTTAGTTCATGCCAATTTTAAATTGTTGGATTATAAGGCGAATCGCAAGAGGTGGAGAAATAGCATATACCACAAACTGGTTCACAGCTTTGACTATGTGATTGCAATGCAAGCTCCATAATTTACTGCTGTTATCTCAAGAAAAAATCAGACCGGGAAGGGAAGAATCAGTCCTAGCAACTTGCCGTTCATGACATTTTCTGCAATAGGAAATGAGACAGCGAAATTCATCCACTCTATCCTACGTTGCCTTGATTCACAAGAAATCTGCAGACCGGTTTTCTTTTTCAGAGTGTTACATGTGTCTACAAGGGCACTGCAGGCAAATTATCACTTTGAAATAATTAATAGTAAAAGGGCACAACATTTGTAGAGCATGACTCCCACCCCACAAAAAAACAAACAAAGCCATGTGTCTCACTTCACAATTTTCCCAACTACATAAGACACCAGCTACAATACAGCATGGGAGGGGAGAGTCTCCAGATTCTCCAGGGAATCAGATGGTGGTTCCTGCATTGGCTCATGAGTGGTCCTTCAGAACATGGCCAAAGAGCCCGAAAAAACCACTACAACCATTATATTTATTTTATTTATTTAAAATATTGTTTATCCTTCCTCTCTTGTTAAGAAGGACCCAATCTGGTGCACATCATTAAAATATAATATTTAAAGCTAAAAACAGTAAGTATGCAAATACCAAAAAGGATCAAACAAATAATACACTAAACGATATTGAACGAAAGCAACACCAAAAATGCATTCAAAACAGTAAGACACAACCATTAAAAAACCCCACTCAGGCAGCCAGTCAATAAAGGAAAGCTTGCCCGAACAGAAAGGGCTTCACCTGCTTGCGGAAGGACAACAAAGATGGAGTCTTGAAAGTGATGCCTTGAAAAGGCAGCCTTGAAAAGGAGGAAGACTTGGGTGTTTTTTTTCCTACAGCTAAAATGGTGTGTAGAGCACAGGCTGGAAGAGGCACTGCAACTTTATAGCACAACGTTGATTGCCGGTGGTTCTCTCCCACACTTCCAGTCAGTGCTGTGCTACACGTCACAACACAGTGCAGCCTGGAAAAGATGCCCTGATGGGCAGTCTTTTCTCTTCTTTGGTCCTTTGCTTCTGTGCTCCCTGTCTCTGAAAAACTGGATCTAGAGGGAGGAAGTCTTCTCTGTCCTACTTTTCATGGAGACAAGGTGGATGAAAAAATCACATACCCTGTGCTCTCACTCTCTCCCAATCATCACAGAGTACTGCGTGAATTAGGACTCAATGCACTAGAAGAAAACTGAATTTTTTCAGTTGAGATTCATTTGAAAGACACTTCTGTTTAAAGGCCTGCAGCCAGTGGAATTTTATTCCAAATACTGTAATCTGGCAACATCACTAGACACTTTTCCTCCAGTTCTTGTAATCAGCAATCTGATGCCTGATTTTTTTTAATTGCACTTATTGTTATAATTAATAGTTATCTACCATTAGGAGCCAAGCTCCCTTTCTCCACGAAATCTTTGCTTTCAGTGGCATTACTCTAGATTTGAGCTCCTGGAAACAGTTGGAATTTCCCTTTTTAGTACAGCAAGTCAGATTCTTGACAGATGTAATGGCATATTACCTCCCAACTGCACCTGATTAGAGGATTTATCACTTTTTTCGGGAGCTGTTTGCTTCCCACATGTATCTGCCTCACAGTTACTTTAAAATATTAGCATCAAAACGAATGAATCTTGAAACTGATGTTACAAGAAACTTTATGGGCATTAAAACAGTGGTTCTTAACCTTTGTTACTCGGATGCTTTTGAACTGCAACTCCCAGAAACCCCAGTCAGGACAGCTGGTGGTGAAGGCTTCTGGGAGTTGCAGTCCAAAACTCCTGAGTAACCCAAGGTTAAGAACCAGTGCATTAAAAGGATGCATGTTGTCCTAGCTTAACCTTCCTTCTCTATAATTTGGTGGGGTGTTTTTCTTTGGGAAAGGGGGTTTGTGACACATATTGTGATGCCAACGTGCACACAGTTCTTGGCAGGTTGATAGTCCCTGCATCTATAATTCTAGAGGCAAAAGAAATTTGTATTAATAATACATTAATATATAAGAAAGTCAAAACATCCCTCCTCCCCATATGCGCAACGGAGATGGAAACGTACAGATAAGTAGGTTTGTAAGTAAGACAGATAGGAGTTGCAATTCAAGAATATTTGGACAGCTGCACTTTGTCAATTCCACCATGCAATGAAGTCATTCATCAATATCCTAATTTAGAAATTACAAAGCCTGTAAATATATGTACAGTGAGTGTTCATGATTGAAGTCAATGCCTATAACCCTAAGCAAAGTTAAACCAAACAGATATGCTTAAAGTGTTTCCAACATTTATTGCCTGCTTTGACTAATAATAGATTGTAAGATCCAGCCCTCTTGCCAATAAGTTTTTTTTAAGCTGTGTCTGTTCAGTTTAAGTACTTTTTAAACAACAGTCTTTTTTTCGAGACAGCAGGCTTCTTCATCATCATCACCTCATTATCACTGCACAAACGTGCACTTATTGCACTGGCAGAGCAAATCAACATTCTATAAGCCAGTTCTAAAAAAGAGGCAAGAGAATATCCTGTAGACCATCTTGAGTGGTACCATTGGTGTTGCCTACGTTCAGGCTGCCCTTTGCTATGTAAAGCTTGGCAATCTTTTTCCTGCTGGCAACACGGGCACAACATTGTGCAGCAATATTGGGCCGTTTCCTGGCATTTTAAATCATGGATAGAGAAGCATAGTATCCCACATTCATATGCTGGAGGCTTTTTTGAATAATTGATTTAGTTTATGCAGTTGCTTTACATGAATTTGTAACGTGAGGGGGGCTTTGGAAAAACACCCCACTGTGATGGCATCGGAAAGCATTAACTTCAGAAGCCTGATTGGCCCTAATAAATATCCATGAAAAGGGCAACTTTGTAATTAAAATGACTTAGTAAATTTAATTTCTCTAAAGTTTAATTCCATACACTTCAGACTTATTTAAGTTGCTGCTCTTTTCACAGGATATCTTAACTTGGGATAATAAACACTATGTCTGCTTCAATTGGATTTTTACTTCTTATATCTATTGCTAGACAGAAATTCAGTCTCAATACAGGTCCATTGCATCTAACGTGGATGTTATCGTATTATTACTTTACTTTTTCTTTTTCTTTGTTCCTCTCCCACTCCAATTCCCTCTGTTTCAGAAAGACACAGAACCTCTTCTTCATTCTTCAGTTCTCACAGTTTTATGGCATACCACCATGTGGATTTTTGTTAGATTATATTTTATTTTGTTAAGAGTGTAAGAAAGGTGCTGTAGAGTCAGACCAAAAAGCCAATCAAATCCAGTATTATGTTTCCACAGCACACCTGTTGAGAAGTTCACAGGCAGGAAATGGGCACAACCACACTCTTTTCTGTTAGCACGATCAGTGTTCTGTGACTAAATCCAGTCAGCACAAATACAGTGCCTCGACTTACAAACTTAATCTGTTTTAGAATGATGGCCATAACTCGAAATGGTCATGTCGAAGCACCATTTCCCATAGGAATGCATTGAAACCCCATTAATCCATTCTGGCCAGGGGAAAAAAATTACACACACAGAGAGAGAGAGACAGCCCCACTACAAGCCCCATCGGAACATGGCAGGGCTGAAAAAAAATCACCAAAACAAAACAAAACACAATGCAAGCCCCATTGGAACGCACTGGGGCTGAAAAAAATAACCAAAAATAAACAACACAGCAAGCCCCATCAGAACTCGCTGGGGCTGAAAAAACAAACACACCAAAACACAAAAATAATCACAGCACAGAAACATGACCCCCTCCAGCCCAAACCTACCTTGCAAAACCCTGTATGTATTCACTCAGAAGCAGAAAGCAGCACCAGGCAGTCCAAAGCCTCCTCTGACACACTCGCTCTAACCATTGGGACAAAAGAGTTACAAAGAAGCAGCCTCTTTGCTGTCCAACGGTTAGTACATTTGAATTCCCTGCCTTTCCCTCCACCTTTTTCCCAGTCATAACCTGAAGCCCCGGTTGCAAGTAGAAGCAACATTTTGTGGCCAGAGCTGGTCGTAACTCGAAATAACCTACCTTGCAAAACCCTGTATGTATTCACTCAGAAGCAGAAAGCAGCACCAGGCAGTCCAAAGCCTCCTCTGACACACTCGCTCTAACCATTGGGGCAAAAGAGTTACAAAGAAGCAGCCTCTTTGCTGACCAACGGTTAGTACATTTGAATTCCCTGCCTTTCCCTCCACCTTTTTCCCAGTCATAACCTGAAGCCCCGGTTGCAAGTAGAAGCAACATTTTGTGGCCAGAGCTGGTCGTAACTCGAAATGGTCGTAAGTCGGGACATTCGTAAGGCGAAGCACCACTGTACATCCATTAGGGATGTATTCAGTTCTTTTAACAACCCTCTGATTTATGAATGTGGGATATTGTACTTCTGTGTTCATAAAGAATGCCAGGAAATGACCCAAGCTTCCCTGCTCTACATGATCTGGGTTCTGCCTCTGAGTAGGTGCCCACTGGAGGTGGCTGGGCTGGGAACTGCCAAACACTGTAGGACAAACTGGCATGAACCACTGGACAAGTGCTTTGTACCCATCTCTAATATATACCAATATTTTCCAATCTTGGGCAACCCAGATGTTCTTGGACTGCAATTCCCAGAAGCCTTCACCACCAGCTGTGCTGGCCATGTTTTTGGGAATTGCCGTCCAAGAACAAATGGTTATCCAAGGTTGTGAACCACTGCTATACACCTTCACCTGTACTTTCTGCAATAATTAGAACAGTCTTGGGTTGGACCTTTACTCAGTTGAGAAATTTGAACTCAGCACTTATAGATTGGTGTAGCAACACATTGGCTTTCCCTCTCAAGCACAGTATGAATCAAGGATGGAAGGTGAGTTATGTTACGTACTAGTTTACAGAACTAAGTCTACTTACATAGAAATGTGTGTGCTCAAACTGCAGCAAACATTAGCCTGTTATTGCTATTTCGCCTGTAATTTTAAATACATTGTGTTTTTTTATTATTATTGTCAGTCCCAAGATCTCACCTAATTTTCAGGAAAACACAGCAGAAAGCAGGCCTTGTCAGTGCTTGACATCTTGAACAGGTCCGTTGATGTTCTTAAATGTGGTAATATGTCATGGAGTGCCCTGAACTCTCTTGGGTGCAACTAAACAGCTTTCCTTCTCTTGCCTAGAAGCTGGCTTACATTTTATTGCTGGATAAAGGGAGTTCACAAGGGCAGTTCAGGACACTTCAACATCAAGTCTGTCTATGAGGAAAAAAATTAGGAAAAGGTTGTGTGTTCTCCAAAAAGAATAGAAATGCAGGAGAAGGTGATACCTTTCATAGAAAAAATTAAAAATAGCAGACATCTAACTTTCAGTGATAATTGTGGTCTAATGTTAGTGGTTTAATAAAGGTTTCACCTGTTCCTGCATCTGTGGATAAAGCTGTCTATTTAATGTTTTGAGGAACAGATTTGGAAACAGACTTGGCTTCCCTTAGGAAAAAGAAAGAAAAGGGGGGAAAAAGAATGAGGTTCTGTTCAGCCTACAGACTGTACAACAGGTTGAAATGCAATGTTCTGCTCTTCATAAAATAGTTGATAATACAAGTCAGTGTCTCTCACTGAATGTCAGTGTAAGCAGTTATGTAGCCAAAGGTTTTGCTTAGTGTTTGCCTTCTTGGTCCCATTGTCTTGCTGCTACTGTATTATCCTGGAAGATGTATTCATGAATAATGAGATGTCTGCAGCAAACACCATGGCCCACTTGTTTGAATGTTTTGTGGTGTTTTCAATTTTTTAAGCCTCTGACTGTTATGCCTGAGAGCAACATAATGAATTGGAGGCAGAAGTTTGATTAACTTTGGAAATTATTATTATTATTTAAAACAATCAATAAGGCTGATTAAAACTATAAAACTGAAAGTGATCTGGAGAATCACCTCACCATACTCAGTGTTTGCATAAGAATCTACGATCAAGGTGTTCCATGTTGTGTACACAGAATCATAGGATTTAAACAGCAGACAGAGTCAGCAGATAGTCATCCCTGAAGTAAATCTAACCTCCATGGGAATGCAGTATGACAATCAAGTACCAATAGCAGAGGCCCACAGGATATGTATATACTGTATACAACTTTTGTAATCCTGTGACCTTCTAACAGGCTATTTTGGTGGATGAGTGCTGAGGCAATTTGCCATCACCCCAAACTCTATTACCAAAATAGCTTCTTGGGAAAACCAGTTGCTTACCTGAGCATTTACTTACCTCATTCAACCTCCTTCCTTTGTCTGAGACACAAGACATTTGAGTATCATTCAGCCCCTCCTCACACAGAAAAGACTGCTAGTATGGGTTGCTAGGTAGCTTTATGACATCATCCTGTGATAACATGTCACTTTGACAACCACCATACCACTCTGAACATGCCTACTTTCAGAAGCTAAGCAGGGTCAGGCCTGGTAAGTACTTGGATGAGGAACCATCAGGTAATACCAGGGGCCTCCAGATGAGGCTGGGAAAGAATTCTGCCTCAAACCACAGAGAGCTGCTGCTGATCAATGTGACCAGTACTGCTGTCAAGCTAGATGGGCCAATGGTCTCAGTGGAAGGTGACTTCCCTTGTCCCTGCCTGGAGAAGCAACTGGTAGTATAACAGTAGAAAGGAAGCCAAGGCTCCACAGATAAGAGAAATACTGTACAGTTGGGGGAAATGTGGGTCTTTTCACCATGTTGTATCCTCATCACCACTAGACTACATTGCTTTTTCTTTCCAAAGCAACTAGTTTTGACCTGAAATCAAAACAGTAGCATTCATCATCACCCGAATTCTACATGCCTAGTGTAAAACATTACAGGCACAGTGATACGGATTCCGTTTCAGAGACAAGTGTGCAAATAGGACTTGCCTTTTTGGCCACAGGGCTGAACGATGGTCCTTGTCCCCCACTCCAGTCTAACGACTCTGATCTCAATGAAGGAAATCCTGCAGTGAACAGGAAATGTCATGATAGAAGCCAGGGCAGCCTTGATGAATGGAAGGGCGAGGAAACTTTAACCCTAAAAGACAGAAGTGTGCTTATTGTTTCAATTAGAAAAAAACAACCCCTCCCACACATATTCTATTCCTAAAGCTACCATAATAATTACTGGACTGTTCTTTGCTGACAGGTTTACTATTAGAGGTTCCTTTACTTCCTTTTTTTTAATTAAATGTGCCTTGTAATAAGAAGTTTGGCCTTACCATTTATGTGCCATTAAGAAAGCATTATTGACTGTCCATCCACAAGAAAGCTGATTGGACTCCCATGCCTAAAAGACTATGCGATACTCTTTTCAACAGAATGATTAGCCTTGTCATATTTCTGTTGGCATTGTGGATCGCACTGTCAAATGCTTTCAAAATCTTTCAGTCTTCAACGTGGTTTAATTAATTGAGAGAGAGGAGGAGGAGGGAGGAGGAGGAGAAGTAAGTAACCTGTTTTTCTTTTATTTGCCCGGAAGCATGAAGCATTTTTGGCAATTTTAGCGAATGGTAAACAGCCAATAAATATTTCATTTCCAATCTTATTCATCAGAACCGTTGTTTCACTCTCTGGAGCAAGTTTTCTTGCTATTTATTATTTTCCATTATTTCATGCTTATTGTGTTGCTGCTATGTTAACATAGTGTTGCTCTTACTGGTGTGTGTTTCTGAAATAGAATAGTTCAGCTTGGTGGCTATATATTTCATGTATAGGTACAATTTTTACTTACTGCATGCCACTGGGTGATTTCAGGCTTTCTTGGTGTTCTGCTGTGTTTGGAAGGGGCTGATTTGTTTGTTCCTGTCTGGATAAATGCACAATTATTCCCACAGTAGCCTAGTGGAAAGAAAACCAAAATAAGCTCAATGTGCTTCATTTAAGATATGTGAAGGGATATGCTTCTTTTACCTAGAACCATGTATCTCTTTAGGTGTTGATTTGTGGAATTTCGACTTTTACCAGTTCTACCTACTATCCATGTCCAGTTATGGCAACATTTTTAAACAATGGGATGAGATCCACTCCAACCACCCCTTTTTTTTTGCAGTGCTTTCTCCAAGTGTACTTTGTTTTTGCTTATTTTTAAAATTATACCCAGAATGGGGAATGGTTTTTAGCCCAGGGGGTCAAATTCCAATATGAGAAGGCTCTCGGGGGATGCATTCTGGAAGCGGGAGCTAAAGCCTTAAAATCCTGGTGATCAAAACCCAGATGCAACTCTTATCTGCTTGCCCCAGTCAGATGTTATTCAGGCAAGCAAAATCTTGCTATTCTGTAATGCTAAACCCCTATGCTGTGCAAAACATAGTCACCTCACAAGGAAGAGCTTCTTGTTCAATACAATAACCTGCCCTCTGCAAATGAGAGATCCTGTTCCATGCTAAACTTCCCCAGCTGCTAAGAAGAGCTCATTTTGCTGCAGTGCCTTCCTAAGCATTGAATAGGAGATAAAGAGGCAAAAGGGGCCTGACTATCAGATGGGAACTAGTGCAGATCAGATGAAAAAGGTCCCTGAACTGAATAAAGCCTAAAGGCCAGAGGCTCTCCACTCCATTGCACACTTTGCTTGAACACATTCCCTCCACTCACCAGTGTGTGCTTAAACCATGTTTTGTGCTCATTTGAGTTCTGCATATTTTTGGACAAATCCCTAGTGGCCCATCAACAGTTGACTCCTGAGTGCACATTTTTTGTCCCATGTCCGATTTGGGAAGTTCCAAGTGGAGTTACATAACAGCACTGATGTTACCTGTTGAGGGCACAGTTTTTGTTCCATGTCTGATTTGGGAAGTTCAAGTGGAGTCAAGTCCATGAAATATTTGCTGGAGAAGTTTGCATATGTATCCCTGTCTAAACAAGGAATCTGGTGGTGATGGCTTGAGGCTGTTGCTTAGCCTAGCGAGTTACCTAGGACAGTGTGTGCTCAGAGCCCTTTTAATGTACATAACAGAATAAAGCATCTGCAACATCATAGCTCCCAAAATTGATCTGGTTTAGCCAGACTTCATGTAAACATTTGGCTGTTTGCTTTTGCTCAGTCAACTGAGCACTATCTTCTGCTCTACAGTAGCTGCAAGCTTCCATCCTAAGTTTAGGCCCTCAAGTATAGTAGGTGATTTCAAGGTCACTGATGTGGAGTTTTCCATTCCTTCTGCTGTAAAAGAGCTTGAAGAGGGTGATTAAGGCAGTGACATTGCCAAAGTCTGTAATTGCCAGGTTTAGTGTATGTTCTTTTAAACAGTGGGTGCTTGTTTAAAAGTTCCTCTCATAATTAATTTGCATTCTGAAATGAGTACCATTTCATTTCTCCCATATTTTTTTTATCACAGTAAAGAAGGTTAGCTGAGATTCCTCACTTACATGGGTAGTGTTCATAAAGGCAAACACCCAAAGGTTATCTGCTTTGATTGATACTCAGTTTTTTTTTTCCTATTTTGACCCCTTACTCAATAAAGCGCTTGTTGGATGATATAAATTATAGAACCAAATCATCTTAAACTGAATTAAATATTCATTTAAACTGAAACATCCTTTGGTTTCATTAAAATATAGGTTAATTTCCTTGATTCTTGCGAATGTTTTCTGCTATTACTGTTCTGCATCTAGATCTCGAGTCCTTTTTTGTGTCCAGGTGAACTGTTTTCGGGAGTCATGGTTTGAGGTCTGTGCAACTGGAGCAGGGAGAAAAATGTAATGATGCAAAGTGGGCTAGCCAGTGAGGAAAGGGTACAGATCTTCAAGGATGTTTATAGATCAATTTGTCATTCCATGACAGCCGTGTTCTACATTGCTTCTATATCAGCGCTCTGGTGGTTGGGCTTTGTGATCCCTTGAATCTCTATTCCAATTGTATGGTTCTGTAATTGGTTGTGTTGCATTGCTAAAATTGAAAGATGAATACAAACCGTCCTCTTCCTCATGTTAACCTGACACCTTAATTAACAAAGCCTGGTACTAAGCTGTATTCAATTAAAACCTATGTAATTCCCCCTCCCCCCTGCTCCCAAAGTCAATGTGTACACTTTGTGGCATCTTTTCAAACTCTCTTTTGGGCACACTCCACCTATCTGCGAATGAGCTTGTATAATAATTAAATTTGGCGTAATTACTTTACAGAATGATCAGTGACAGTCTATTGTTCAGGAAGAATTAATCCTCTGAGCCTTCCAACATCATTTCAGTTCTGGTTCTAAATGAGATTTTCAAAGAATGTAATTTATAATAACTAAAATCCCTAATGCACATTAATATAGACTTGCTTTGTAGCTTGCTGGTAAGGCGCTTCTGAATTAGAATCCTTCTGCAGTAATGAGTTACCTATGCCACACTCGGCCACCTGAACCGAAGCAGGGACTTAATAAGCATCCTTAATCACATTCATTCCTGATGGCGGTGGTGGTGGGGAATCTTTATTGATTCCTTGAGATGCATAACAAAACTGATTCCTCAATGCTTGACACTTTTGCCCATCATCAGTATCATGATTTTAGAACAGAATGATGCCCTGTTTAACACCTAGAACGATAATAAAGGTATTTTTGCATATATTTGTATTTTTTAAAGGGAACACCAAAAACAACTGGGGTGAAACTGGACAACATCCTTATGAATCTGGCCATAATTCTCCCTGACGTGATATATCTATGTCTTAGTTGTATTAATACAGGAAAATATCCAACAGTATTATTGTGCCAGCAGAAATCATGTTGCTCTTATGGGCACCAGACTTTGCTTAAGGGGGGAATCCAGTTTGTTTGTTTAACATATTTTTGCCCACCTTTCTCTTTAAAAAGGAACCAAGACATTTTATGTCATAAAAAGATGGTTTGTAAAGCAAGCAACAGTGCGTATACAAATATTTTCTGGTTCTGCATCTGTTGTGGTAGCATATCCTGTTATGCCACCGGTTGCACAGCTAGTTGCACAAGGGTTGCTCTGCTCTGGGGCACAAGAAAACATATGCCCCTGGTTCCTGATCAAACTTTTGCTAGTGTTTTCCTCTGATAACATATCATTAGATTTAAGTCACATTCTGTAGCTATTGGCTTATCTGGTGGAGCAGATGATGGCTCTTCAGATCCACATTGTGTTTTTTAAAAGCACACTATCATACAGAGTGAATTAGCAGGTCAGGCAGAATTAAACAGTAGGAGAAGTTGTCAAGGATATGAGTTATATATGCAGACAGGCATACTTCTTCTTTTTTGATATTAAAAAAACCTTGGTTCCTTTTCCTCACCCATTCTGATGGCCAGAAACTGGTTTACCCCACCTGTGGAAACAGTATATCTTTTTGAATCT